ACGTCCCACATCCCCGCCATCTTTTGGGGCCCGCGTTTGCGTTTGCAAGTGTCGCAAGTGCGACTTGCGCTTTCAAAATATGCGAGATGCGCAAGCGCAGTTCCGCATGCTGTTCACCATGCTGGTTCAGCCTTTTTTTCATTCGCAGGCTCGTGATAAGTTTCCTGTGCTATGTTTCGACCGCATGTACCGACCTCAGGGTCGCCAAAATTCGTCCCTATCGCGTGTTTGCTGCTATTGGTCGCAGTTCCTGCCGAGTAATCTGATGCTCCGAATTAATTTTAAGGTCAGATCTACTCCAGACCCGCGCAGTCCAGTGCTGATCATCGCGGCCCAGTTCTTCCTTACACCCGTGTTACTTGTCCTGCGGGCTCGTTCTCATGCTATTCGGTTGGCGCTATATCCTGCGGTCGTCGTCTTGGACGTGTGGTTAATCCCCGGGGCTCGGAATTTTTGTGATGCCTGCGGACGCAAGCTCGCGCGTAATCTCTCGCATCTTAAGTAGTACTGTCCCAGGCCCTCAAGGAACCGATTTCCACGAGTATCTCTCATGACTCGTGTCGAAGTGCTCCTTTTTGGAAGCGGGAACCAGTTCCGGAAAACTTCCTGGCGGAATAGTTGACTGACTGGTAAATTCCCCAACCACCTACCTGCGTCTATTCTATGTCAAGGTCGTTGTGTCGGTACGAAGGGCTGGAGCTGACGCCAAGTGTCCGGCATCCGGTGAGCCCAAAAATGCTCAACCATCGAAGTATTTCGGGCACGGGGAGTCGAACCCCGGTCTACCTCTCACAACGCTGTGACTGAGATAAGAAGTGAGGCCGTGCGCCGTACACCATGACCGAATAGTTTCTAGCCAGGTGCGCCTGTGTATATACGCATACTAGCGATTTTGGAAGCGCGTTAAAGTGCGGGAGACGAGAGAAAAAAACCTACTAAAGCGCCGAGGCACCGATCAGACACGGGCCGATGAACCTCAGATTTTATGCATGATGCCAAACACTCATGAGAAGAGGTGGTGTTCCGTACATCATGTCTGAGTAATTAACCGGGGAGTGCACGTATGGTAATACGGTATGCATTCGTACCTGGGGGATACTCCGATGTACAATGTCGAACTTAGACTTCTCGGCATGCCTAGATGTCCACCGCAGCCGAGCAGAGTGCATACTTTGCCTGGGGGATATTGCAAAGCACAGAGGAGATTCAAGGAAGGCAGAAAAACTTTGGGAAGAGACTCGCCCATTATTGGAAAGGTCAATGTAAGCGAATGATGTCGCCCAGATTGATAGAAGACTTGCAATGGCTACCCAAGATATGTCAGATGCCAACCATGAAGCACTTGAACTTCTCAGTCAGCAGGAGGTACCTGCCACATTAGCCACATACTGGCACGAGTTGGTGACCACAGAGCCAACAACCGTAAAACATTAATATTGAAGAGGATGGCGGTTTGAAGAGGCAGAGGAAGGAACTTGGTTGAATTGCTGGTGGATTGCCAGGAGTTTTATTTATTAAGAAAATAGTTGGATGTAGGATTCACAGTTTGTCGTCATTCTTCTTATGTCAGACATGTCTATTTAGTTCTCTAAAACTATTGAACTAACTTTTTGGTATGGAGTTGAGAACCGAGAAATCATAATGCAAAATACTGATCCCCAAGAATCCCGGTGGTCAAATTGACTTGGCACATCGGCGAATTTGATCGCAGCATGTACGGCACTTCAAACTCCCTTTCCTACCTAAAAAATAAGGTGCTGTCTTGGTGTGAGAACATACGTGAATCCGATCCAGCAGGCGGGGGCCGCCGAAGCCTGTGGCAAAGCCGGTGGTGCCGTCGGAGGCCTCGATCTTGATGCAGGAGCCGAGGACGTCGAGTCCCCAGGAGGTGCGCGAGGCGCGGTATTCCGCATACTTGGACGTCGGCACGCCATCGCGCAAATCAGTAGCATGTATAAACGCGACAGTGGCGGGCGCACCTGATTGGGTTTTCGATGAGCCAGTGGCCGCGCAGGACATTGTGATAGTCCCCGCCCGAGGAGAATTTGGAGCATGTTAGGTCGGGAGCAGGGATATATACCGACAGGACCGCTGACCCGTTTTGCAATTGTGGCCACATGAACATTTCGAACCACAACAGACGGCCGAGCGGCCTCCGTCTCAGAGTTAAGCGCTGTCTGATCTGAACGGTCCAAATTACAGGTTGCAACTCGGATGCTGGTCAGCGGAATGCAAAACATGGCCACTTCATGCGTAGGTGTGTCGATTCTCTTCTTCCATCCCCTAAATCGAGCGGGATACGAGATATCTAACCCTTTACATACTCAGACATGGTGCATGGCGTACCACCTCTATTCCTCAGTTTTCTTGATTCGAGTACCCGCAATCCGAGGTTCGATTCCCGGCGTCTGAATATTGCATTCGGCTCCCTTTTTTTGCTTTCTTTTTCTTTCTTCGTACGTTTGGTGCTCGCGTTGGCAAGTAGACAATATATGTATGCATTGCAGACCCTCCAAAAAAGATCCTCATCCCAATACCTGAACAAAATAGGGCTCATCCCCAGGATGTTCTGCGCAGGCTTTCTTGATTTTTTTATGCCTTTTCTTCTCATATGCCCCCCCTCATGCGATGTCCCCGAACTTGCTATGATGAGAAGGTACACACGGGTGAGAGAAATACGGACATGGTGCACGGAGCACTGCCTCGTTCGGTAACCACTACCGTTGAGTGGAGTATGAAGCAGTCCGGGGTTCGACTCCCCGTGTCCGAAATGGGGTGATCGGAACGCGTTCCATATCGCGCTGAATTTTAGCTTTTGTGAAGCTTGAATTAAAACATTTTCAGTCGTAGCTCCATACGTGCCAATGGTCAAATCAGACAGGACCGTCTGAGGCCTCTAGATGTTGTAGAATTTCCTGATGTGGGACCAACAAAGCCTTTCTTTTTGAACTCCATATGGTTCCAAAATTGCTGATATAAACAGGTCCACATGGGTAGATCATATTACACAGGGGGCAAAGCCTGACGCACCTGGAATCCAGGTGCGTCTGAAGCATGTGGGCCGCAGGTTACAGGAAGCAGACAAAGAGTCCGTTGATCCAGATGAACAAAGTAAAATATATTGCATAATTAGATAGCATTAAGGAATCTTGTGGTTTATAAGGACTTGGCATTCTCGTTGAGCCTTCAAATCTCAGGGAAGTACCTTGGGAATACCATACACTGAGGGCTTGGTCCGGTGAGCTGTGAGGCAGCTGCACTGAAGGTCTGATTTGAGGCTGTTTCCCACACAAAATTGAACCCTCGGTGCAGCTTTCCTATGGCTCACTGGAAAAACCTCCTAGTGTACGGTACTCAGCGGTACTCCAACACAACCTGAGCATTCAAAGAGAATTTCAAGTACTTAGAAACAACCATATCTCTTTGTCCTATCTAATTATCTAATACATTCATCCAGATCACAGATCAATCGAAGGACTCTTTGTCTGTTTCCTGTCACCTGCAGCCCACATGCCTCAGACGCACCTGGAATCCAGGTGCATCAGGCTTTGCCCCCGGTGTTAGGACATGGTGTACGGAACAGCGCCGTGTTTTCTGGCAGTGTGCAGGATTCAGAAGTACCAAGGCAGACCGGGGCTCGACTCCCCGTGTCCGAAATGAACGTCTTGAATTTGTTTTTTCCTGTCGCGTTGAATTTAGGCTGTGGGCAACTCGAACCGTGGTCGTCGTTGATCCACAACCGCCAAGCATCCCCAATAGCCTAACAAAAAGAGCGCACTCGCCGCCTCAACACTCAACACACATGGGATGAAAACCAGCTCATGCTGTGGCGACATGCTTTAAAAAAATCGCTAGTAAGAAGGTACACCTGGGTAGCATGTATTCGGACATGGCGTACGGAACACCCTTCCTTTCTTCCGATAATGGTCATGAACTCAGAAGTGCTGAGGTCGATCGGGGTTCGACTCCCCGTGTCCGAAATGACCTAGCGGTACTTGAATTTTTTTTCGTGCGTACCTCCGAATTGAATCGAACACCACCCCTATGGGTGCTCCTCTTTTGTGGATGCAGTAAATCTGAGAGAGAACTCCCATGTTCGGCAGAGGGGAGTTTCTTCAGGTCGATGGGATTTTTTAGGCCATGGCTTTTCCCACTTCCCGCTCATTCACTTCGGTTCTAAAATTGCTAGTATAACCAGAGGTGCATGGAAATAAGTACTCGGATATGGTGTACGGAACACCGCCTCGTTTTCTGGAAGTAAAAGATTTAGAAGTACTGAGGCAGACCGGGTTCGACTCCCCATGTCCGAAATTATTCCCCCCCATATTTTTTTTCCTGCATGTACTGCTCTTCTCAATCTCCGCACAGAAAACCTAAGCTACGAAACCCTAGCATACCACCAGAATGGGGCCGCCTCCGGGACCTCCAGATGTCATCAGATTTCTGGACGTGCGACTGACATTCTCACGGAGATGGTCCAGGATGGTCCGGAGATCACCGGCATAAGCAGCCGCACATGCGAAGTATTCGCGGTACACGGCGCACGGCTCGCTTCCTGCTATTGGCAATACTTACTGCAATCCGAGGTTCGACCCCCTTGTCCGAAATAAGATTCCTACCTCCAATTTTTTCCCCTTTCGCGCCGATTTTTGATTATGGGGAAACTCAACCGTCGTCGGAGATCCACAAGAGTCGGGCATCCCCGGTAGCAGCACAAAATGAGGGTACCCGCGGTCTCAATTTCCTGAGTCAGACGCGGGCCGTTCTCTTCCTTCAATGTGCATGCAAAGTCGCTACTATAAGTAGGCTCATTTGTGTAGGAAGTATTCGGACATATGGTGTTCGGAACACCCCCTCGCTTCTTCCGGAAATCCGGAGGAATTTTATGGTGAGAGGAGACCAAACTTGTACCACCGAGAACCACGGTGTACGAATTCGTTGGGTTCCTAAGCCTGAGGCCGTATTTTACTGTATAGGGCAAGTAGTGGCGTTGCAAAGAATCGGACGTGGTGTAGGGAACACCGCCTTTAACTGTATATGTGCTACTTCCATTTGAACAGTGCCGGGGCAGTCTGGGGTTCGACTCCCCGCGTCCGAAATAGCTTGGTTTGCACATCGTTTTTTTAAGGCTTTCGCATGCAGCGGGCTAACCATCCGAGTTCTGAAAAAGCACATTAGAACTCATGTGGGGATATATCAACTCAAGTGAAACTAATGCCGCAATCCTGAACCCGTCGGGCATTCTTTTCACTGCCAGAAAGTAGGGGTCATAATTACCTGGGTAAAAGGACGTGAATCGAACGTGGAGTAGGGAACATGGGCTCTCAGTGTATCACCACAATGGAGTGGAAGAGCCAGTCCGGGGTTCGACTCCCCGTGTTCGAAATATGAAGGATAGTACGACCTTTTTTGCTTCTTCTTCGGGACCCTCGGTCCTGCATTTATAACAGAGGAAACGAACGCTGCATGAACACAACCACGGCGCGCAATGTTGAATTTCCTGAAGTCCTTTAGCGTGAGGCGACAATGTATAAGTATGATAGTGGGCTTCGAAGGAAGGAACGTGTGTCGATGTTGGCGAAGTGCGTGGAGCAGTTCGGGGTTCGACTCCCCGGGTCCGAAATGCGTCGCCTCTGCTTGCTTTTTTTCTGGGGGCGCACCGCTAAATGACGCTTAGCAGAGTTTTAGACGGCGACTGGTTGCGAAGGAAATGAGTTGATTCAACTTGAATTAGCGAACACTCGGAGTAACCGGAACGGTCTGATCCGATGTCACACCTGTGACCTCGCCATAGCCTTCCCCGTAATGAGGGCACCAAGCGCAGGGCGCACCCCACCCCGCTCTACATCCTCACCTGGGTCTCCTTCTCCTTCTCCGTGCTCATCTTCATCATGAGCATCCTCGACCTCGGCCTCTGGATGAACATCTCCGCCGCCGTCGTCACTGCCCTCTACCACATCGCCGTGCTCGTCCTCTCCGCGCGCACCTACGACCTCCCCCCTTACGCCATCCTCACCTCCGTCCCCACTGCCGGCTGTGCCGTCCTCGTCTTCGCCTGGCTCGCTACCTTCGCGCTGACGCTCCTCGCGCCCGCCATCGGCCGCGACTCCTTCCCCAGCCCGCCACAGCTCATCGCCATGGCCGTCCCCTTCGAGCTCGCGCTGGGCGTACTCACCGGCGTTGAGATGCTCCTGGTCGTCGTCATTGCGCGGCTCTCGGCCTACCCGCATCCCGTGGCTCCCGAGTCCAGCAGACGTATCGCGCTGCGCCCCTCGTCGTCCACGCGCCGGCTGCTGTCCGTGTAGGGATTGGATGTGGTGTCTGGTGCGCTACCCACCACTTACCGCCGCTCATTTGGGCTTATTGCATTCGCGTAGTTCGTCCATGCGGTTCGGACTCTACTCGTCGCGCCATGGGCTCTCCACAATGTCCGGCGTCGTGCTATTAATGCGCTGCGCAGAAGCCTTGTTCTCACATTCGCACCACGGGCTCCCCACAAACCACTGACCTCTCACACCGTCATGGGTCACCTATGGACGGGCTGGGTACGTCTACCTTGTGCAATCCCTGTATCTTTAATTGACGTGGCTGACAGTCGGACGAGTAGAGCTACTCTGGATTTTCATCTCCTGAATCCATCACGCTGAGCCAGCGCGGTTCTTAGTCCGACGATGTCACGCCGTTCGCAGATGGTCCTCATGCGCTGCGAGTCGCGCCTGCGTTCCCCATCGCGCGTCACACGGATGTGAGAACGGACAGGGACATATCGCCTTTTGTCTTTTTCGTGTGTACAGTAGTTTCTCCTCGGGTGCTTATTATAGTTTCAGGACTCACAATGGATTTCACTTTGGCTTACGGGTGTTTCTATCGATGAGTCTGTATCACGTCGTTGCGGTGAGGGAGACTCGTTCCTATTCTTGTCCTGCCGCGCAATTTTGACGCGCGGGTCTGGCTTGCGTGGCGCATTTTCTTCCCGAGGGCTGTTTCCCTCTTGACTGCGCACAATTTCCGCGTTCACGTCGACCCTCGGGCTTGGGACTGGCGTCGTTTATGCTTCGTCCGAGCCGCGGCGTGTGTGACTGAGATTGCGCAATGCAGACTGAGCTCTTAGCTTCAGCTCTTTGTTGGTGGCGTATGCAGGGTTATTAGGCTCTCCGTTTGACGTCCCATAACTCACATCTCCACTATTTTTACGAGTGTTGGTGTTGGTGGTGTGCGAATCATTTCGTTATAATTGCGCTTTTTTACATTTATTCTCGACTTCGCACCTCGCCTGTTTGCTTCGGAGTCCCCGTTGTTTGTCTCGGATTCATTTTGAAGTGGGCTACATTCCGGAGCCCGGACCCTCGCTGTACAGTGCTACTGCTAATCGCAGCCGAGTTGTTAGTCCCACATCCGGAAATTCTACGACATTTGGAGTGTTTGTTTAGCTATTAGCATTTGGGGTTTTTGAGGAGCTGCGATCAAGTTTTCTCCAACAGTTGAAACTCGACGCATCTACTGGGAGACTCCGTGTGAGGTCGAACTTAGACGTATTCGCATTCCGAGAGTAAGAATGCAAAGATAGCACGTACCCGCCAGAAACCCTTATACTCCGAAGAAACCAGGGTAAAACATGTCTATTTTAATATAATATCTAGGCATAGTTGGTCACACAATTGCGATGAACATGACGCCTGCCAATTATTAGCACATAGCATCGGTCTCAAATCGGTCTGCATTCTTGGCTCGTGCGATAAAGTTAGAGACCCATCTGAAATAGAAATTAGTGCACCAAAAATGAGTGGTGTGGTGGTGTGGTTAATGAATGCGCCCCTGGGTCTTAGTGTCTTAGTGGAAGGGCGTTGATAGCCTGCCCAGAACATAATGGATTTGGATTGATCTTGGTAAATCTTGCGAGATAAATATAAAGGCAGGTGTTAGCCATTACAGCTCTTTGCAGAACTTAGGGCGTGGACGATTTTTTTTTTTTCCTTTTTGGGTACTTTTTGATCGTTTGGACCAGGACAGCTGTTCTGGCCTCGAATCTAGACCGTTAGCCTCGGGAATAGGCTCAATAGATGCACATTATGAACGCGCAGTTAACCATGTCCTCAGATTTTTTATATGACCCCCAGGACCACTTTCTGAGCATGGAAATGAATTTTATCCGGACATTTGTGATCATTTTTCAGCAGGACAGCTGTTCTGTCCTCAATTCTCTGCAGTATTCTTCGGTTATATGCTCAATCCTTCCGTCGTCTAAATACACAGTTAACTGCAACCTCAGATTTACAACCTGACGTCCAATACGGCTTCCTGGTGGAAGAAATTCCTGGGAGGTCATCACTTTTGATTGCTGATCAGTAGAACAGCTGGTGTGGCCTCAGATCTTAATCATTTACTTGGTGTATAGGCACAATCTCTTCGCCTAGTGAATCCGCAGTGTACGGCGCCTTTCGATTTTTCAACTGGCTCCCACAGCGCCTGCCTGGTATAGCAGTCTATTTGCAAGCAGGTTTTCATGTAAGACAGCTGTGAGCTCTTTGGGGGTGCCCACAAACTATCATTTTGTTGAAATGTTTCACTTCAATCTATTTCATAGCTTACTGTGTAGTTGTATTAAGATAATACACACAATAGGACATAAACTGTGTATTTTCACTGGGAGAAGGTGAAAAACTAGGAATTATATAAAATGTGTAATTCCAGATTCCGAGTCGGCCGTTGCCTGCGCAGTGGAAAGGCGAGTAAAATGAGCATATGCCCACGGAAAATGGTCAAGGATTGAGGCAGTAGCAGCTGTTCTGCTGACTGGCTATCAAAAGTGATGACCTCTCTGGGATTTCTTCCACCAGGAAGCCGTATTGGACGTCAGGTTGTAAATCTGAGGTTGCAGTTAACTGTGTATTTAGACGACGGAGAGATTGAGCATATAACCGAAGAAAACTGCAGAGAATTGAGGACAGAACAGCTGTCCTGCTGAAAAATGATCACAAATGTCCGGATAAAATTCATTTCCATGCTCAGCAAGCGGTCCTGGGGGTCATATAAAAAATCTGAGGACATGGTTAACTGCGCGTTCATAATGTGCATCGATTGAGCCTATTCCCAAGACTAACGGCCCAGATTCGAGGCCAGAACAGCTGTCTTGGTCCAAACGATCAAAAAGTACCCAAAAAGGAAAAAAAAATTGTCCGCGCCCTAAGTTCTGCAAAGAGCTGTAATCTCGTTAAAAAACTGCCCCAAAAGGACACACTGTATTTCTTAATTCAATTCTGCCACCTATATAGCCCACGTATCGGGCCTGCTTAGGCCGGGTAATTGGTTGACGTGGCCGGGCTAAGGAGGCTCAATTTGTAAATCAAATCCATCCTCCGTTAAACCTCGTATAAATGCTCTTTTAGTAACACAGTAAATAATAGCTAAAGCTATCAAACCTCCAATAAATATTAGCGGCGCCATCAGGTAGCGTGCGGCCCATCAAAAGGCCCGCCCATGCAGCAGCACGCCATTACTTTGCCTGCCGCACATCAAACACGCATCATTCTGAGGCACACCGCAATCAAGCTGTCAGTCTCGCATCATTCCGAGGCATGCCGCCATCAATACCATCACCTGTCCCGCCCGCGACACCGCCGCGAGCCTACAAGCCACCCCAACACGTCTAAATTCTCCGGAAAAGGGGGGCAGGTGCCTGCGCCCAGCCCTGAGGCATCTGCATAGTAGATAACATGATTCGAATTAAATTGTACGTATAAATAAAGAAACAAAATATAATACAAGTCCCTACGCCATGTCTTCGGTGACGCGAAGGACCGTGAGCATGTCCGCGAGCGTGTTGGCCTCTTCCTCGTCATCATCCTCATCATCATCACCAAGCGCCATCGCATCGAAGCCGGTCGATATCTCGGGTATGTCGGAAGTCGGCGCGGCCTTGTCCAGTCGTTCCTTGTTGACGGGGACTCCCAGCGCGATGGAGCCAGAGAATCCGGGGACTTTCGCAAGTCTGACGAGCCGGTAGCGATGGCCGTCGTTGAATCGGCCTTGGCGCATGCGAAAAACAAAGATTTGATGGGCAAGTGCCGGTCCATGTTCCTCACGGACACGTTTCTCTGT